TTGTTCGTTTATCCTCATGGATGTAGTCTGTCACTACTATAAAACCTTTCTGCTCCAGCTTTGTTATTGATTCTTTCCTTGTTGGGCTTTTGTTGTTTTCACTGTATCAACAGAGCAGTGTTCTCTTCTCATTCATGATTCTTCTGCAACATTAGGTGCTTGATCATTTTTTTTTATCTTCTACTTTTTCTTCATATCACAGTGACTACTCCTTCAAAGTTGTCTGGTCTGACTTTCTTCTACTTTTTCTCATGTCTTTCAGGCTCTTGTCTGCCTTGCCTAGTCTTCTGTGCTTTGGGAGAATACTTCTGTGGCTTTAGTTAGCACATCTTTGAAAATAAACCCCAAATGCTAGGGCTCAGCCTTTAGCTGTTGGTCTTATTTCTTCAGCTTTCGTTTAACTCTTCCCTCTAACCTCTTGCTCTGTTGCAATCTATCCTAAAAGGTTTTTCCTTCTAGATCCTTTACACCACATCCTCTCACTTTCACCAGATGATTGCGCTGTCCTTTCCAATGCCCCAAATTTTATTCTTCTAGTTCTCCTTTTTGTAGACAGTGCCTCTCTGACTTACATCTCTTATTGCCAGATCCGTGTTTTTAGCTTCCAATCCAAAATCTACGTGCATGCCTGTTAATCTTTTGCCTTGATATAACCTCCTCTTGCCTCAGCTGCCTTCTCCCCTTCTCCATTCTCTGCTTGATCTGGATAATCCCCACAGCCATGTGGGCTGCAGTGGGTGTGGAGGGTGCAGCTCCATGGGCCTCGCTGACACTCTGCAGATTCATACAGGCTGAGTACCTGGCCTCTCAGTCCTCCAGCTCACTGCTGTCCCTTAGGGTGTCTGTAGCTGAGAAGAATGACAAATGGATGTATGCTGGTCTGATTTTAAAGGATTAAGTATCAAATGCTGTTATTCAAAACGCATTTGCAGCCTGACTCAATGGTAACTACACCAAAACAATAACATGGTTATGGTTACTATTCTTTCTGCCATATCCAGCACGCTGGTAATTTGTAGATCAGTGGTCTGACGTGCTCTTGTAGCGTTCTCACTGCTCACCATTCCTGATCTTCTCAGATTTATGTACAGATTCCCCATTCAAATTCAATTATTAATCTAATAAATGGTAACAAAAAAATAAAGCTTGTGTATTTAAACTACATTGTCATGCAATAGCTGTGTCTGTGGAACCAGCCCTCATGGATAACAGGCTGGCAGCTGTTTTCTTCTAAATCTTTTTTCTTTTTTTTTTTTTTTTATGTTTGCAAAAGTCTGTATTCATGATTTCCTACTCTCTTGGCTTTAGAGGAGTCATGACGTATTTCTCATACTAATGAGACAGAATGAACTCTGGTGTTCCTCGTGGAATCTGACTACAGTTTTCACTGACACCTTCACCACTAATCACATATCTGTATTTCACACAACATTAGTTAAACTAAATATTAAACATAAGTCCCAGAGGTTGCATTGTGGCCGCATTAAGAGTGTCTGGAGAGCATCCCCTTAGGTTCCCAGTGCTCTGCAGCCTTAAGATCTAATCAGCATCCCTCTTTCGATTGCAAGGAACCCATAGAAGTTGTTATTCTAATCTGTGTATGATCTTATAATATTTGACTTTCTGCAGCCACAATCAGCGCCCTGTCAAGCATTCCCATAGCAAAAGTACATTTGCAGAGAAATAAGACAAGTAATTGACCTGATAGGATGAGCAACCACTTCCTTTTGAATAGATGCTTTGAACACTTAGGGCTGCAATGTGATTGTATAAGTGGAAAGACCAAAATGAACCTTTAATTTTTTATTTTTTTATTTTTTTTTTTTTCCTCACAAGGGAATATGTAAGAGAGAGATTTGGATTGATGCAGAGGTAGCAAGTCACTTAGGACTTCCCTTATATTGTAAAATGGATGTTCACAGTTTGGTTATCTGTAAACATTGCTGGGGTCCAGAGCATGAGATGAACCTTTGTGCTCACCTCTTGGGTGCATGGAATAGGTATCTTTCATAAACACATGCACTAAGAGAGAAATACTTCAGTATGTTCTGTTGGAAAATACTGTGTTTTTTTCAACCTTTAGCTGTTAATATTGTAAATACTGTCTTAGTTTAAGTGAGTGTCTTTTGAAGTGATTATGCCATTTTGAATTACTGCTGTTTTCATCACTTTTGAATTTGTGGTTTTGTAATGTGTCATAAAACATACCTCAATAGTCTTGGAGCCTTTTCTGCCTTTTCTCAGATAGGATATGGCATAATACCTCACTTGGTTCCCTAAATACCTTCCGTGTTTGAGACCAGAGCCAGCTTTTAGATAACAAAGTGCTGGAACCTCACTTGAAGGGTGAGATCTGTTCTGTGCTGTAACCTGTGATTCTGTGATCTGTGTGTTCAGTGGCCAGATTCAATTTGATTTGAATGGGCCCAGGATTTCACCCTGAAACTCCAGGCCAAAGTTGCCATTGGGAAGCTGTAAAACACAGCTCTAACTTTAATGAATAATTCTTTCTGAAGTGAATGCTGGCAGTGGCTGGGATAGGACTGCTCCCATATGCAAAGATTGCTTATTGCAGGATATAAAATCCTGCTTACACTAGATCCACTCTGCTGGTGTTGAGACTGGATTTATAACTTCATAATGATCTGGTCTTGCTGCAAGAGTCACACAGTCTATGGGTCAAAATGCCAAAGAAATCCATGGAAAGATCTCCCGTGAGACAGGTGAATACAATGTGTTCCTGCAGCTCCTGGGCTGAATTATTCCAGGGCTAAACCTGACCTCTGCTCCAGAAGAGTTGTGGGGAGAGATGGAATCAGCCTTGTCCTCACCTTTGTGTACCAATTTGGGGAACAGTTTGTATTCACTTATTCCCATACCTGTGGATTCTAATCTTGATTTAGAATATGAAAGGAGGGAAGACTTGCGCCCCCTTAGCCTTTTAGTGAACAGATCACTTGTGGTTTGCAGTATTGTGTCAGCAATATGATCACATATAGTATAGTGAAGTGACTGTTGCTTACAACAATTTCCCTTCCATCTCTATCAAGAAACCAGCAAATAGTACTATAGCTTCTGCAGAAATACCAAGAATGTTTATAATAATGTTCTGGAGCTTAAAGTTGGTGCCAGTGATGTCACTACATCTGGAGGTAGTATAAATAAATAAATAAAATGTGACATCTTTTCAGCGCTTTCTGACTTGCAAAATGAAAATGTGGATGGAAATCATTCAGCTCAGCCTATGTAGGTGGCTTTGCATTCTGTTTACAAGCCATACTGAAGCCTGATTCAGTTAAGCCTGAGTGATCTTGAATTGCTTAAACCAATTATTAATTCATATTTTTTATTTAGGGATCTCATTGCAGCATTAGTCTTTCTTTTGTTCTTTCGCTCCCTGCACAAAAACAAGTATATGAGTGTAAGGATACATGGAGTCATCAGGCAACAGACATATGCTTTCCTGTGCTCTCAGCACACCACAGCAGGGCTTGCAGGTTCAAACACAACCTGCCTGAATCATAAGAACTTTAATTGAGTAGATAAAGAGGTCCTCATAATTATAAACTGCAGTAGGTATAACAAGAGGCTAAATACATAGCTGTGGTTTTAATTAGCTGGTGCTTCAAATTAGTAATTGTGGTTTCACTCAGAAATCAGTGACTTTATACACTGTTAAAGCCTCATCACTGTGCAGTTCATTCCTCATTATATCTCTCGGTGTGAAGCTTTCAATACAACATCACGCTGAGCTAAAAAGGCGAAAGTTGTAGATATTTGGTTATCTTCCAAGTGCAGTGGAGCTCTATGGAGATTTAATTCCTTCTCACCAGAGGCAGGAGAATTAACTGTTCTTTGTTACATATGTGATATGTATGTTTCTATGTATGCATTAGTACATAGTGGGTGTGCATGGATGTGTGCATGCATGTCCAGAATCTGTCAGGGAAACACTGCTTACGACAGATAACGTTAGTGCATATACTGTATCTGCTATTCAAATTGTCGTCTGGAATTTGGTAGCTAATTAACTGACACAAAGCAGAGCCAAAAGCCTCATAACAAATCAAATATGAGTTGAAAGCACAGAAGTGTCCCTTAATGCTTGTCACATGAGAGGTTGTCAGTGCAAGTTGAAGCATGCATCTTTTCCTTTCCTCTTTCCTTTCCTATTTCCCCCCCTCCTTGAGGGTTTTAATTATATCTTTTCCCTTAGAGGAGCAGGAGGTAATTTTCAAAGCCAAGAGACCAAAGTACTTCAGTGCTATTCAGGGGAGAAGTGAATGTGGTCTCTCAGCTTGTCATCTAGGTCTGGCAGGTGTACAAAGTAAGCTGACATACAGATAAGTGCCACTCACCATTGCTACACTGAGGCACTAGATCCTTTTCTGTTTATTTATATGTGTGTAGAATTATCTGATACTGGAATCAACTATCCTAAAGTCTGTTCCAGGATCCTGCTACAAACAATTTTTAAAGCCCCCTTGACAACCACAATGAAGCTGTATATAAATTTTAACAAGTACACGGGACAGAATTAGATAGTCTAAATCACACGAGGCTGTACTGGAGCATTGGGGTGGATGGAGACAAGTGTTACACAATTAAATAGATTTGAAGATGCTGTGCTTCCTTGACTTCACATTTTCTTTCTCTGCAGACACATTCTTTATGGGCACATGTGTGTGCATTTGTGTGTATGGGCATGTGTTTTACAGACTGTTCATACAAATGTGTCAAATATGTTAATTTAAAAAGAACATTTTTGTCTATTTTCATTTTAAAAGTGTACTCGCTTTCCTGCTGCTCAAGTTCATATAGTATTATGATTCAAAATTTACATTTGGGAAAATTATTCAGTGGCTGCTTCTTTCTTTCAGAATTGTCCTCAGGAGTTGCATAATTTCTAATATTTTGCTACTCTTACTGATAGTAATGAACATGTAACTAAATTCTAGGGAAAATAATGTGCTGTCTTTTTTTGTCTTTCTCTTCTTCAGTCACTATGAGCAAGACCGCAGTGCACTTAAGCGGAAGGAATGGGAGAGAAGAAACCAGGAAGTCCAGCAAGATGAAGATCTCTTTGCTTCAGGTTTTAACCTCTTCGGAGAACCCTACAAGGTAAATTGCATTGTTATGTTTTACATTTTCAGAATGTCTTTTACCAGAATGCATTGTAGAAATACAAATAAAGCTTCTCATCACCTGTAAGAAATGAAAAGTATCACATCTGCCTTGGTACTTATGCTCCTGAATACACTGATTATCCAAATCAGCTTGTGGCAGCAGAGCAAACTGAATGCCGTGCCCAACATTCCATGCTAGCACTGACAGAATCAGTAATTTCGGTTACAGTCCAGTTCAAGATTTCTTCTTCAAAACACACAGCAAAGTCCTGCAGTAGAAGTATGTGCAGCTGATAATCTCTACAAGTGGGTTCGTACCTACAAAGCTGGCACTTGGGTATATTTTCTTCTCAAAAATAAAAGGACTGAGTTATTAAAACCAATGTCCTCTCTATAGATAACAAGTCCATAAGCTTTCTTGTGCAATCATAACCATCTAAAGAAGTCTTTTGGGAGACTGTCTGAATCTTTGGGGAGCATGAAAAGGGTATGAAAGGGACTTATGACAAGTCTTTTCTCTCTAAGGAGCTTTGCTGTCTGAGTTTTTCATCACCAAGGGATGTCTCCCTTTATGATTTCTGCTGCTTTGATTTTCAGTAAGACATTCCCTGAAGAATTCCTCAGAATGTAAATTTCCATATCTTTTTCTCCTCCCAATCAGTGACAATCCACTGAAAGGCCACGACTTCATCTTTCCATTTTACATTGTTAGCAGCTGTAGGGAGGATGAGGGCTCTTTGAAAATCACCTGAAAAGGAGGAGGAAAGACTGGCATTATTACCAAATAGTGTCTAATAATTATAGAGTGGGATAGTGTGATAGATACCCTTGACTCCTAGCTGTACTTTGGTTCAGGCTGACTAGGAAGCAACAGGCCTCATGTCCTTGGGGTGAACTTGTGAGTGGGAAAGCCCCTGGCTCATGTAAAAGGGAGTGAAGGTCTTGAAAAATATTTCAAAAGGTGGTTTTGAAACCCAAAAGTGCAAGATAACCAAAGTATGGAACAAGATACTGGAGCTAAAATGAAGACATATATCTTGTCTGTACTATTGGCTAGCACCAATATTCTTCACCCTATAAATATTACCATCAGGATGGGCCCAATTTCAGCTCTTCCTGAATTGCAACTGGACTGCATGCCAGGTAACTCTCCCCTTGAGCAGGGATGCCTCTCAAGGGTAGATTCCTTACCTGAGAGATCCTTCCTTACCTGTGGCAGAGAAATCCCTTACCCACAACAGATCCTTGCTAAGTGACTGATAGCATGCTGAATTAATGCTATGAAACATTACTAATGCATATAGCTGCTTGATATTATGTAAACATTGTACAGATAATTCCATTAGACATAAACTGTTGACAATGTCTGAGACTAAGATGGGATCCAGCTGCACCTAGGCTCCAAAAGGAATTTAGAAAGCAAGAGGGTCCACTCTGAACCTCATGACTCAATGGGAGGGTCCTCCTTACTCTTTGCATCTCTGCTCTCTATGTGAATCATTCTAACTTGATTCTAACTCAATTTTCCTTTGTATGTTTCTTCTATGCAGTAATTAATAAGGTGAACCTTGCTATCAAACTTATTGAACCTTGTCAAACCACTGTTAAACTGTGTTAAACTCCATCAAACTTATTGAACTCTGTCAAATTATTATTTTACCTCAATAAGAAATACTGCTGCTTTTGTCTTTTGAATGAGGTGGATTCCACTCATCCATGACAGACATATGCAGCCAAATAAGGACTATGCACTAAGACTGTTTGGGGGATCTTTTTTTGTTTTTATAAAAATCTATTTCTGCATTGGATCGTATTTTAGCACCTTTATTTATGGGAATAATAACTTACAATGAACTGACTTCCTGCAGGTCATGCAAACGTTTTTGTTCATGAAAGTAGTCATTTGGATTTCAGTATTAGCCCAATATGCAAATCACTGCAAAATTTTGTGTCAGGAAGTAAAAAACATACCTCCCTCCAATACCTATTGTACCAAAAGAATGATAATATCTGATTTTACATGTTTAGTGTGTAGGTATTTAAACAAAGCATATATAGGGCATATTTTTTGTCAAAAACTGAACAACTAAAAAGCAAAAAATTCTCCTGGTGATTTTCTTGAGCAAGTTTATTTATTTTTTTTAATTGCTTTTCACCTGCTTGGCAGAGAAGTTTGTCAGATCTGTGGGACTGAGCAAAACATAATGTATTACTGTCCAAAAAATCATTGTAATTATAAATTGTGAAAGATAAAAATGAAAAGGAAATTGCATGCAAAACCAGCTACATCTGTCTTACGCTTGGAAAACAACGAGAACCCAGACAAAATAGGAAAGCTAGGTCTTGCCTGCATTTTACACTATGGGGAAAAAAAAAAAAGGACAAAGTGATAGACTGGTGTTTCCTTTGTAAATTCTGCATTGCTAAGAACCAGCCACAATGCAGTTTCCTAAGAACTAAGGAAAGCTGGATCTAACTCTTGGTGTATATGAAAAGATTTCTATTGTTAAGCAAGTGCAAAACTAAATTCAGGGTTCTGTTCATGTTCATGTTTATTCTAAAATAAAATGAAGAGGCTATGAGGTAAGAACAAATGTGCTGCATGTTCAGTTTGAATTCCTTTTGCATTTTGAGGTGTGGATGAGACTCAAGACCTGGTGCACACAACAAGGTGCACCCATCTTATCTCTTCTGGTTTCTCTCAGTGGGAGCAGAGACAAAACACTGCCCAGCAAAGTCAACTGTTGTGGCCTGTGATGGGCACAGGGTCCACATACTCAGCTGGGCTAGCTCTAATGGGCATCAGCTCAAGGGATGGCTGGTGCGTTTCTGAAAGATCTGGAGTTGCAAGGTTAAGATGGAGACTACAGTGACAAAAGGAAGGTTGGGAATATCAGGTCTCAGGAAATAAAAAACATCTCTTCCTTTCTTTTATTCCCAGATCTGGTGTCCTTACTTATTTACCATTCCTTCCTCATTTGCTTCAGCAGTAACCTAGAGAAGGGACTGCTGGGGTAGGGAATACCACCACTGCTGTTTTGATGTTTTAAAGACTGAACAACTGGCAGCTGTTTTAATATCACTCTAAAGTTGGGGGTATTAAAACTTGGTCAAAGAAACAAGCCCAGATTTTCTCATGGAGCTTACTGCTGTTGCGCATCAAGAGATATGTGGAGTATTTGCCTTCATCTATCATCTCTTTGCTCTAGCTGTTAGAGCATCTTTCTATCCTGACAAATACAACGTAGGTGATCATTATAGTTTTCGACAAGTGCATGTTTCTACATTGATTCTTTTCAGTATATACATGTGTACTCATACATGAAAAGGGATCTTTATTTCTGTGGGTGTATAGACATGTATTGGGTTTGCATGACAAGGTTTTGGTAGCGGGGGAGCTACACAGGTGGCTTCTGTGGGAAGCTGCCGAAAGCTTCCCCTATGTCCAACAGAGCCAATGCCAGTGAGCTCCAAGATGGACCCACCGCTGGCCAAGGCTGAGCCCGTCAGTGACAGTGGTAGCACCTCTGGGATAAGGTATTTAAGAAGGGGGGGGAAAAACTGCACAAGAGCAATTGCAGCCAGAGAGAGAAGTGAAAAGATGCAGAAACCAAGGTCAATGAAGAAGAAGTAGGAGGTGCCTACTAATGCTTGGTTTTACAGAACTGATCAGAGAAGAGCCTGCAGTGTTATGAAAACAGACATTTGAAAAAGCGATGTCGGAGTTTTCCTGAGAGAAGCTGCAATTTTACTACTGAATTTTTTAGCACCTTTTAATGTTTTGAATTAGTAAAGAGTTTGAGATGAGTATTTCAGAGAAAACAGTAGGAGTATTTTTGTTACTTTTCAAAGGAATTGCCTCAGAAGAGTTCAGCCTGAGAAAGAGAACCCAATGCACAGCATTTCCATTGGGGAGCCTTTGGCGAATGTTAAATCATTTATCTTTTTCAGGTATAACCCCTTCATGCTATTCAGGTTTAGCATAAAAAATATCTCAGCTTCTAATCCATGGAAGTTAGGTTAACTGTGAGGTATAAGGAAGTGAAAGAATTATAAAACCTTAAGTTTCATACAATTTTTTACAAAACCCTTGTAAACTTGTAAAAATAAGTTTGAGTGCTTTAGTTCTTTGCAAAACTATAATGCAATAGCTAGCTATCAAATTAGTTTTCCAATAGGATTCTATTACAGATGTTTTTTGAAAGAGAGAGAAGCAAATATAGGAAGGTGTACATTTCCTAAATTAACAAGAGCCTGGAATGAGAGGGAAGGCTACTAGCCATGAGTCACAAACCAGACATATAATTTATGCCTTGGAATACTCAGAAAATGCTGCATTTCCTTGATAGCGGCAAAAATGCGATTCAATATGCTGTTCAGAAAATAAGATGTACAGAGGTTTCCTTTAAGAAATCAGCCAATTATCCAGAATATGGAAATAGAAATTGTCCCCAATCTGGAAGTAACAAAGAGCAACCAGAAATTATGACTGGATTTTGTGTTTGTCTTGCTATCTGGGATTATCAAGTGTAATCTGCTTCTCACAAGACCCCTGAATTTGTTGAGGAGTTAAAATTAAAAAGTTAATGTTATTCTTTGTCTTGAATGCAGGTAGTACACACCTGAGCTCTTTCAGGATGTGATACACAAGTCTGGTTTTAGTTGTGTGCTCTAGTTTTATTTAAGCATAAACCAAATTATCGCTCACATTCGCTATTTGTTTTTTGCTTTGCAATCTGGTCCAAGGGCCATTGAAGAGAGTAATAATCCTTCCATTGACTTCAATAACTACTGGATATGAGCTTTAGTGCACTTAAAATATGCTAAGAATGTTTAAATTAATTTAATCTCTATGCTTTTCAGGAAATGTATTTTTTATTAATGCTCCCAGTAAATGACTACAAACGATAATACGTAATATTTATACCATGTTTTTTATCCCTGGGATGTGAACATTCTGTATAAAACAGTTAATATCAAGCAAAATTATATTTATTATTATGTGACATGTAAAAGAAAAGTTGAGAGAATCAAATACCTCCAACACAGAAGTGATTTAAAAGCTCGACATTCAAATAAAAATATGGATTCCCTCTGTGAGGATCTAGAAAAGAGCCATTTAATGTGCTCTGATGTTGAAGTGTTACAGGGATCTGTTGTCAGTACTTTTTTTTTTTTTTTTTAAATTAAACTTTTGCTTTCTGGAAAGTAAGCTAAATGCACCCTGGAAGTGTTGCTGAACCAGAGGTGAAGGTTGGTGGTCAGGCTTTTTTTTGACGTGGTTGTTTCCCATGTGCTATCCCCTAAGGAGTTAAAGTGTTTGGGGAAGGAGGAAACAGAACAAGTAAGTATTTAGACTTCAAATCGTAGTTCCTGCTAGGCCCTTAAGCACAATGGAATATCCTTGTTTTAAATTTGGGGGTTGAACAGAGAGAGCCTGGTTTTGGCTGCTGCCCAAACAGCTCATTGTGCAACTCAGTTGAAGGAGACTGCTCGTGTACAAAGAGCTTATTCTTGGCTTAGCTAGAATATAATTTTTGCTGCTAAAATGACCAACCCAGGGACTTACTTAGTGAATAAAAGTGATTCGTGGTTCTCCACAACCGGGATTATTAACTGTGTCAGTTAAGAGCACTGGCAAATTGTATATAGATGAGAACAACATTGAACAGTTAATTTTTAAATCACTGCCTCAGTGCAGTGGTAATATGTTACAATCCCTGAGAAATGAGCAAAAGGAAATTTGCATTTACTATCTTCTTCTTCAACATTTTTAATGGCATATGCAGTACTAGGGAAAAAAAATCTTTCACAATATTCTTCTCATCTCCTGACTACTTCAGCAATGGGTAATATAAGTAGATATTTCAGGAGAAATCCATGCATGGATTTTTTTCATCACTCAAACTTCTGCATAATACTTGAGGAAAACAGGAACAGTGGCATGCTGGGATCCCTCACTGAGGAATGAAGGGTGACACTAACCAAGCGCAAGCTCACAGTGCTGCTACTCCCCATCTTTATAGCCTGGTGTTAAGGTGTGTTTGGACTGTGGCACTATTTGCTATATTGAATGAAAAAAACCCAAAACAAACATAAGTAAAAGTATGGTTGCCGATATCCTGAAGTGTTTTACATACACTGCAACTTTGTCATTTAATTCCAGACTGTAGAAGTTAACCATCTGCTTGAACAGGAACTATAGTTTTGCTTTGTTTTTATCCTTTGAGTCTTGTAAAGCAATAAGCATGAGGAATAAGATGCTTTAGTTCTCTGCTGGTCGTTTCAATGGAACATAAAGTTTAGTAAGAAGGGTGGTACATTAGTCTCTGTGTGGTGAGTTAGAAAAAGAAGAGAGTGGAAATGAGCTGTGTATTAATTTATAGCTTACAGCTTATTTGTCCAGATTTTTACAAGTGAAAGGGAAGTGGAAGAAGGACCAAAAAAACTCACTTCATGCTTAAAAAAAAAAAAAAAATAATGGCAGTGGAACATAGATGAGTCAGTAATTATTTAATAATTACTGGAATTCAAAGAAGAGTACGAGTCACAAATACAACCAGCCCGTAGCCAATGGAAGAATCCCAATACTTAAGAATGTGGAAATCATGTCTATTTATGTTCTATAAGAAAATATTTTTGAATTATCTTTTATTTGAAGCTACTGTAGCATTTGAGTGAGTAGAAGCTTTTTCTTTTCTGAATTCAGATGGTAGATACGTCAGGTCAAACTAGGCCCTCTATAGAAAAGTAATTGGAGTTATGCTGGAGTGAAGAGTTTGGCACTGTATGTTTATTACAGACTACCCAGCTTCTATTTATGGCAGGACTATGGGTCAAGGGGCTGATAGAGCAATAAAATACTTAAATAAACTGTGTGATTGCAATTCAAATGCTCAGTAGCCAGTAATTGCACGTTCATGTTTTGCATGATATGAAATGTATAAGCCTAACATCTCTGACATATAACCAGCTTATTTTACTCCTAACATCCATAACTGATGCAATTTAAACACTTCTCTGAGAACATATTTAAGAAAATGGGAAGCAGTATACAAATGTTACTCATGCAAGCCTGTTTCAAGAGAGTCTTTGAACAGTTATTGATAGGTTTTTCTTACATAACATATGCAAAATGTAATTGAAATTAAATTAAATGTCAGCATGACACCATTAAATAGCTAACATTTGCCATCTTCTAAGACAACTATTCTGAGCAGTAACTTCGTAATCAGGAATTTACTCACTCTTTTCCTTTATTTATTTTTTGTTATTTTAGACAAATAAAGGTGATGCCCTTGCAAACCGTGTCCAGAACACACTGGGAAATTACGATGAGATGAAGGACCTGTTAACCAACCATTCCAACCAGAGCCACCTTGTAGGAATCCCAAAGAATTCTGTCCCACAGACACCCATTGACAAAAATGAACAGAACTTTTTCCCAGAACCAAGAAACAGGATGATCCCATCTCATCAAATCAGTGGCCACTCATCAACATCAATGCCTCCACCTTCTTCATTGTCATCTAATTCTACTTTGCTACACAGTCACCAGAGCAGCAGGAAGTCAAGGACAGACTGGTCACGTGGTAGTCACAACTCTAGTGGGGCCCAGTCAAGCCAATCCAGTAGTCAGCAGAGCCGGACAAAGCATAGCTCTTCTCATGACCAGCCGCAGGGCAGGTATGAAGACCTCTATAATTGTCAGGGTGAGCAGCATAAAAGTGGAGGAACTGAGGAAGCAAATTCTGTGGCAGCATCTTCACATTCGAGGAGGCATACTCATTCAAAGTCAGCACCCGGAGAACATACTTACAAAGAAAACAGTCATTCAAAGTCACCCACAGAGCTTGAGTTTGTAGGTCATGGTCCTGGATCTCCACTTCCTTCCACTTCTTTGTTATCTGCGAACAATGGTCTTTCGACCCAGAATTTCCCACCAGGACTTCACTGTAAAAACAGCATGGTCCAGCAAAAGCCTACAGCATATGTCAGGCCTATGGACGGTCAGGACCAGGTACCAAATGACTCACCTGAACTGAAACCTCCAATAGAAATTGAGAGTGGATATGGAAATCAGTCCTTTGGAACACTGCTGGAAGGAAAAGTGAACACACCTAGTTCGAAGAACAAAGTACCAAAGCTCAACATTCCTCCTGTTAGTGAAGTAAGTAGTTTAAAATATCTTCTCTCTAGTACCGCTTGAGTGTTTAATGCACTGAATATTTTTCTCTGGAAATATACAGTTCCATTCCCTGGTATGACAGTCTAAAACATTCCTTTTTTTTTAGAATATGCCTGACTACTTTTGGCAAAGTTTGTTGTGATAGTCCCCATAGTAATATTTAATGAAGTTTTAAAAGCACAGTTTGGAATAATAACATTGCTTGTTTCTGATTAATATTAAAAGGCTAGATCTCTGTTGGGTGTAATATATTTATACCAGCTGGAATTCTGGACAGAGAACTCTAATATCTCAGCTCATCTGCAGTTTTCACTCTTGCATTTTCAGTTAGGAGCTAGTTGGATAGAAAGATTACCATTTTAAACACTAAGGTAAAATGGCAGCGTTCAAATTTCAGTGGTACTAATAGTTCTACCAGCAAGGAGTTTATTTGCAGAGTTTGCTAAATTCCTATTGCTTTTAATGGAATTAATGTGGCTTAAGTTCTGAGTAATGCTTATGAAAATGTGTCCCATTAAAGCTTTTATGCATTTTGAAGAGCTCTTAATATTGGGATTCAGTCCCAATCTCTGCTACCAACAGTTTAAGCTGTTGAATTTTGTATTGCTGGTCAGTACAGTAGTCCTGTGAGGAACATTTTTGTTGGTTCATATTCATGTCCATTCCAAGAACAGATGTATAATAAGGATACTAATTGAACTATTTATACTCGGTATACTTTTTATCTTACTCTGAATTTCTCTAAAGCAGTAACCTTTGTGAGGTAGGTTTATAGTGTACATATGAACAGAATTGCAATATGGGTTTTTCATAGCTTTCTGTTTTCCCCAAAATATTTCCCTGCTTGGTAATATTTTTATACTAGGAATGAGGAGCAATGCATTCTTAAACTACTTTATTGCAAAAGGTCAACTTTTTCTATTGGAATAATTGTTTCAAGCCAATAATTTGTTTGACTATTTAAAAACTTGATGTTATTTATTAACATTCCAGGCAGCAACAAAGACTGATGTGTTTTGCAGTAGGGCTTGGAATAATTTTCTGGGAACTGCATCTGAAAACAGTAAAAGGCCTATTTATATCAAGTGGAAGCTAAGAGTTGCTTGCAGATGGTGTTTTATTAGAAAATGTATTTGTTAATAAACGTAGCTTTGTACAAGACTACTTTACAGATGTTTCTGTTTATTTTTACCTTAGGTTAAAAATCTGCTGATGTAGATGGCTTCATAGTCTGTTGCGATTTGTCACTAGCATTGTTTGGCAAGTAAATAATTGCATGCAAAGAAAATAATGATGTTGCAAAAGCAAATACATTTTTTCACCTTTCCCATCTACTAGCACTATGAGTCAATAGAGGCACTTTAAAGTGCAGCATTAATATGAAGTATTTTTTGAAATAAAACGTACCTTTTGCAACTTGTATCAGCTATTAAGAATGCATTTTTTTCTTTCTTTAGTTTTTGAGTGAATCCTGGCGCTGTTGAGATCAGTTGAGTTTTTTGGGTGCAGGGCTTCGCCTACAGTCTTTTTGCGTAGCTCTAAGAACCTCTGATGTGAAATGTTGTTTTTGGAAAGATTCCCAGTCACACAGATGAAAAATTACATTGTGAATTTGTTGCTATAGCTGCTTTAGTTTATATCCTGTGCAGTGAAAAGTATAGGTGTCTAATTAATTTCATTTATGATCAGATAAATGGTAAACTCTAGACACTTTAGAGATGAATGCAGGTAATAATCTTAAAACAATCTGTGTTGTAAGAGCGAACAACAATTTGAAGAGAGAAAGAAAACTGAAAGCTGTGTTAAGGTGACGAATAACTTTCCTTTCTGATACAGAACATATGATAGCCAGACTGATGGATCTTTTACAGCCAAATCTCCTGAGTTTGAAGAGTTGGATTTTTTTTTTTTTGCCTGTGTCAGGACTGTGAACTTTGACCCTCTGTGTTTTTCCACAGATGTGTATCCTGAATTTGATTTACCCTGCATTCAGCAATAAAACTCTTTCCAATCCAATGTTATAGATAACTGGTTTAGTTTAAGCTTAATCAGAACTGACAGTGCACACCTGTGAAACCCGTAACCTTTTCAGAATGACTGCAGCGAGTGGCTCTGTTGTAATCTTTATACAATTGATGTGGAGGCTTATGATCCTTTGGTGGTGCTTATCAATTTATGAACCTTCCCAAGCCACCTTGAGCTGTAGTGATCAGCTTGAAACAATTTTGCTCCTGCTCCACAGGTTTCCATTCTAACACTGTTCTAAGTGATGGTGGTGGTGACCTTCAAACCAGCAGTAAGAGAGTTACATTTTTGGGGCATTTCTCCATAATTTGTTCTGTGGCTGTCCTCTATCTTTGAGTCCATTTTTTCAAGCTGCTGAGTGTGCACATAGAGGTTGCACACCAAATGTCTTCCCAGTGATTGATCTCAACATTTTGTATGCTCTTAAGATGAGGAATTCTGTGAAGAAATAAAATTCCTAGGTGATGGTCCTGCAATAATGGCATCTATTAAGACATGTAAAGCTGGAAAAGAAAAAGACAGTTTTTGCTGTCTTAAGGAAAGGGAGTGGATTAAGTAACCAAATGTTTGAACAAGCAGATTTAAAAGATGAGTTCAAATGGATGTGGAAATATGGTCTCATTTATCATGGCTTAATGGAATAGGATGTTGAGTGCCCTGGAAGCATTTTGCCATGTGTGAGGAAGTGATCAATTTTATAACATAATTTGTGTCACTTGAGGTGTTGCTCTAAGAATCTTTGCTTGGTTGCTGGGCCCAATTCTGCCCTAAGAGATGTCCATCCATCTTTCAGCTCCTCTGGAATGGACAACATTTTTAATGCCTTGCTGCTGGCATGTCTCTGCTGTGCAATGGATTGTGGTTTAGTGATTTCTTAGTTTGCAGAGATTCACAAGAAGTTCACACCGACAGACCAGACTGGGTCAGGATGTAGCATTAACAGCACTTACACACCTGTGGACTAATCCTTGCCTCTGAGTGGATGCTCTTGTGTTATTTCCAGACCTTGACTCACGACACAGAGCAAGTTCAGACCTGTGTTCACCATGCACGGCCATTTCTGGTAGAGAAATAGAAACAGCAGAGTCTCTGTAGACTTTTAGTTGTGTCCTGTAAGGATTTCTTTATTATTTTGTGATGCTTTGGATTTCTTTTACTTTTCTGCTTTGGTTTTCTTATCAGTATTGTTTTCTAAGGGTTAAGATAAAAAAATATTATAGTCTGGTGCCTTGAGCAAAAGCCGGCGTAACCACTAACTTGGCTTGCCAGCCTCTGAAATTCAGAAACTGTGAAGCAGACCTTTCAGAACTGGGAGGCCATAAGGCCATCATGTGACTTCAGGGGGATATGCAGAAATGCACCAGATATCATGACATAAAATTGATAACAATGGCCCTGGAGCTAAAACTGATAGAAAAATTGATAGAAAGCCTCAAGCTGTAAACATTATTTCCTGTTCCTTTCTTATTAACTCTCACCTCTTTAGCCTGTATTTACATACGTACTTATATACATATATATTAATTTTGAGCTTGCATTTAATATTTGGTAAATTGTGGCAAGCCTTGGACATTGCAAAGAGCTTTTGTATTATGTAGAATTCCACGTGCTTAAATTGTATGATGGTAGATGATTGTTACTTACCACTCAAAGAGAAGTGCATAGTTAAATCCATTGCATTTCTTCAAAAAAGTAGATGTTAGAGACCACAATAACATCTGATCCTTTCTCTGCTGCATTAAAATCTAGAATCCTGATACGTGTATGTATATTTAAACCTCTAAGAATCAGATGCTTACAAATTATTTCAAATTGACTAACTCAGCAGGAGATAGCTGAAAGAAAGCCTGAACTTTTCAGGTTGGGCTTGAACACAAATTATTGAGAGTACTGAGTAAAGCAAAGGATTTTAAGGTCTATGGGAACATCAGAAGATATGTTCCTGGAAAATCTTATGCACAGTTTTTCAGAACAATGTGTAGATTCCCAATAAATGTTTAGGGATGGGAAATCAAGGGTAATTGAGATAATGTTTGATTCTCAAGGCAGAGCTTTTAAATCTCACTGTAAAATTGGCATCACATTCCTACCAAGTAGCAAATGCTCATGTACCAAATTTTCCCAAAAATACAAAGCTAGGAACAAATCCAAAAAGCCTACAATATCTATTTCACCACCCACTTAAGTAATAAAAAATGAAGAACTTCTATTTTCACTTTACTTCTAGGAAAATATTTTGACGGGTTTAGTATACTGCAGAGTGATAAGCTTCTGTTACATGTTTCAAATCATTCTGTTATCACTGCATATATTGATTAGCTTAGTACTTTCTGAGCTAGCTGTAAAAAAAGGCTGCTCTCTTTCTGCATTAAAGAGCAAGAAAAATTGACAGGTAGATAACCATATTGATTGAACCTAAATAGTAAATGCAAGAGGCTTATACATGACTTGCAAAACTCTTTATAGGAACCAAAGCCATTTTAATACCTCTCTTTTTTTCAATTAAATGGAAAGTAGATGTCTTTAATTAACCACCCCCATACCTTTTTGATATACATGCTACTCTAGTTGCCAACTATAGTACATTACCATAGTTGTGGGCAAATCACTTTTTGCAGATGGAAGCTTTAGCTGTCCCCCACACTCTGAGCTCTGAAAAAGAATGGATTGAATCACACATTAAGCTGAAATCCCTTTGCTTGGTTCATATTTCAAAAGTCTGAGGCCAAAAACAAACCCAAAGAGCAGTATTTCTTGCAGTATTAAAGGTTACAGCCATATGTTTTTCATTTGTAAATACTGTGAGAAGTAATGTTCTTGTGATACTTCTAAATGAAGACCATATGACACCGCTCGACTGAAGACCTCTTATTGTGGCCTTTCTAAGGCTACTGTCCGATTGCTTGGACAACTGCTAGCAAAGCTATTTTGCAGGGAAAGCAAGGGGACAACTTGCC